TTAAATATTAATATGTATTATAAAATATTAATTTTACAGTTTTTTGGGTAATAAGTTCTTCAATGAGATCGAGCTATTTCTGAAAAAAATTCTAAAATATCTTGTATAGTGAACTCAAGGGTTACCATGCTATCTGGATAACACCTTTGAATTAATTCCTCTATGTATATGTATTGCGCAATGAATTCACCTTGCATTTCACGCCAAACAACCTAAATAAACATAAATGTGAAGTGTATAATATGTGAAAAAGCAAAATATTAATAAATTAGTTATAAGATAGTTTCGATTTACTTGTAGCAAATTTTCTTCCTCACACAGATGTTTTTCTACTTTCCTGTACAAATTTTCTAAACCCTTTTTAACTTCTCGAGCGGGATATTCCTTTACAACACGTCTAAGCTCTTGTTTACTGAAAGCCATTTGATAACTAACTTCAGATTCTTTAACTCCAGCACCAACTTTTGCTTGGACGCCTTCAAAGAATAACTGCAAATAAATTATACATTGCAGAGAATTTAAAAAAAAATAATAGAAATTAAAAAATTTAAGTAACAAACATTAAGTTTTTCTAGTGGTCTTCCAAAATATTGTGTAACATATGCACGTAAAGCATCTTGATATTTCTGTTTAGCTTCCTTTCGTTCATGATCAAGAACAGATATTTTTAACTGGGATAAAAGATCGTATAGATGATGAAAGTTTTCTAAAATATAATGTAATTATTACTTGATTAAAATAACGAGATATATAAATTAAAATTAATAAAATTGTAATCCTACCCATCTTAATAACTTCCTGTGGAGTTTTATGATGTTCTCTACTATGAGTAACAATAGCTTCAAACATTGTACCCACTAATTTAGTATACCACTTTTCAAGGTCAACTTTTCTATCTGAATTTTTAAAGATTTTTTCAGCTATTCTTGCAAATGGTTCAAAATTTTCTACATATGGTAATATACCACATTTGTTTCTGCGATTAACTTTTGTATCACAAAGAATTGATTGCAATTGTGCTTGCATGAACTTATCAAATGCCCTTTTAACTTGAATTAAAGCAGAAGCAAATGTCATAGATAGAAATGAACCAGTATCTTGTGCTGACATAACATGCTGTGACAAACGTACTAAGACGTACATACACCAGCTAAAAATTATTTTTCAGATCATTTTTTAGACAACTCAAAGAAACATTAATTTGAGAAATTAATATTTTATAAAAAAAACTTACAAACTATCGATTTTATCCAAAAAGGCAATAAAATTATTCAATTCAGCTTCTAATGAGGGAAATATAGCTGCCATTGTTGCACGTACTTCTTCATTTACTTGTCTTTCTAATTTTTTACTTGCTGTAGAAGTCACTGATCCAGGACTTGCAGCTCCATTGCTAACATTATCTGTTTCTTCCATTTCAGTACTCTAACATATTTAGATAAATACTTAGTTTTTAAATATTGTAATAAATCTGTAGTAGCAATTTACATACTTTTGATGGAGAAAGAACGGAATCTAATTGTAAGAATGAAATACAAAAAGCTTGTTCTGCAAGACAAACTGGTTGCATTTGGGAAAGCATACAATCAAGAACAGAATCTAAAAGATTTCCTTCCCCTACAGGTGCCCATGTTTCACCACTTAATAAGCAAATAGGTGCAGGATTCAATAAATCTTCTGCTTTTGGGCCACTAGATTTTGATGTATTTGCTTAAAAAATGCATTTTTGTTATATAATAGGATTTACTATTATTAAAGATAAAAAGTACAACATATACCTTGAAGACGTTTAGAAATAAGTTTATTTCTTGCTTCTTCAAAAAATCGTTTTAAATCCCGCTTATATAATTTACTCATTGTATCTGTATAAACCTTGGTTAATTGCACAAAGGCTTTATTATCTAATGCTCTTAGTAACTGCATTAGTTCTGTATATGGTTCAAGTTCATGATGGACTGCTTGATGGGTTGGGAGAATTAAATCTGTCATTGACATTGACATATCTCCAACATCATTACCCTATAAAAATACTACATTTCAGTATTAGTCGTATTTTAATCTAAATTGCTCTTGTAACTAAACATACCAAATGTATGAAGAGATTATTTAAATGCCTAGCCACAATTACAGAAAACTTTGCTTTAAGTTTATCGAGTCGTCTTTTTTGTTCTGTTACTGCACTTAACTTATCGAGCCCCGATGGTAGAGGAGCTGTTATTGCTTTTAAAAGAGCAACACCTGCTTGGCTAAGTTCTTCCTTTTCTCCTGGAAGCTCAGCTTCACTCAACACACGTTGATAAGTTGGTGAAATATCTAATTGTGACTTATAGAATCAATGAAAAAAATTTTGTATAAATAAGAAAACACTTGTGAAATGTATGTAAAGGTAATAAAATGAAACATTATTAAAAAGATCATTTTTAAACATATTGAAAATTTATATGTATATTTTTATATAAG